GACCAACTCCATATTAATGCCCATGATTTTGGAATGAGGTGTTCGACGAGCAGGTTCCCACATACTTTTGGTTATGTAGTGTATCATTTATATGCCATTTAGCAGACGCTTTTATCCTAAGCGACTTAAAGTCATGTGTGCATACATTTTTACGTATGAGTGGTCCTGGGAATCGAACCCACTATCCTGGTGTTGGGAGTGCCATGCTCTATCAAGTTTCAAGTTTTAATGTCATGTGCAGTGAAATGCCTTTATGCAAGCTCTAAACCCGACAATGCAGTAATCAAAATAACATAAGGTAAAACAAAAACACACAAGAAATTAAAATAAGAAATAAGAAGAACACGAGAAATAAGTAAGCTATATACAGGGTCAGTTCCAGGGTCAGTTTCTATACCATATTTACAATGTGCAGGGATACTGTAGCGATAGATAGAGGTAGATATGTATAGGGATAAGGTGACTAGGCATTAGGATATATGATAAACAGAGTAGCAGCAGCATATATGATGATTGTATGTGAGTGTGTGTGAGTGTGAGTGTGTGTAGAGTCAGTATAAATGTGTGTGCATGTTATACAGTATGTGCGTGAGCAAATGAAGTGAGTGTGTGTGTGTTGGAGTATCGGTGTGCGTGAGTGTGTAGAGTCCTGTAAAGTGTGCATAGAGACAGTTCCAAAATATATGTAAAAAATACAAGGGTGAACTCAGATACACCGTGTAGCCATTTTGTTATGGCTTGGGGATAGAAGCTGTTCAGGAGTCTATGGCTTAGGTGTCTGAAATCTTTAACGAGTTTTTGGGACTTCCTTTCACACCACCTGATATAGAGGTCCTGGATGGCAGGGAGCTCGGCCCCAGTGATGTACTGGGCTGTCCACCCTCTGTAGGGTTCTGTTGCCATACCAAGCAGTGATGCAGCCAGTCAAGATACTCTTAATGGTGTAGCTATATAACATTTTGAGGATTTGACGGCCCATGCCAAACCTTTTCAACCTCCTGAGGGGGAAGAGGCGCTGTCGTACGCATGTGTGTGGATCATTTTAAGTCCTTAATGATTTGGACACCGAGGAACTTTAAGCTCTCGACCCGCTCCACTGCAGCCCTGTTGATGTGGCTGGGGGTGTGCTCGCCCCCCATTTCCTGTAGTTCACGATCAGCTCCTTGGTCTTACTGACGTTGAGGGAGAAGTTGTTGTCACTGACCTCCTCCCTGTAGGCCTACCACTGTTGTGTCATCAGTAAACTTGATGATGGTGTTGGAGTCGTGCATAGCCACGAAGTCGTGGGTGTACAGGAGGAGACTATACACACATACCTGTGGCGCCCCCATGTTGAGGGTCAGCATGGCAGAGGTGATGTTGCCTACCCTCACCACCTGGGATCAGGCCCGTCATGAAGTCCAGGATCCAGTTGCAAAGGGAGGTGTTCAGTCCCAGGGTCCTAAACTTGGTGAAAAGTTTGGAGGGGACAATGGTGTTGTACACTGAGCTGTAGTCAATGAACAGCATTCTCACATATGTATTCCTCTTATCTAGGTGGGTGAGGGCAGTGTGGAGTGCAATTGAGATTGCGTCGTCTATGGATATGTTGGTGCGGTATGCAAATTGGAATGGGTCTAGAGTGTCTGGGATGATGGAGATGATGTGTGCCATAACCAGCCTTTCAAAACACTTCATGATTACAGATGTCAGTGCTACAGGGTTGTAGTCATTGTAGCATGAAGCCTTAGAGTTCTTGGGAACAGGAATGATGGTGGTCAGTTTAAGACATGTGGGGATTACAGACTGGGACAAGGAGAGGTTGAAAATGACTGTGAATATGCCTGCCAGCTGTTTTGCGCATGCTCTGAGAACAAGCCCTGGAATGCCTTCAATATCATTGAGTTCATCTGGTAGAGAGGCATCATTGGGTCTTCCTTTGTAATCCGTAATGGACTGTAGGCCCTGCCACATGCTGCGGGCGTCGGAGCCTGTGCAATATGATTCCACCTTCTTCCTATATTGTTATTTTGCTCGTTTGATGACTCTGTGGAGGTCGTAGCAGGACTACTTGTTCCTGTCCTCAGCCATAGCCTCAGGGTTGTCTGCGATAGCCCTGTGTGCGGTAGCCTTGTCATTTATTTTAGCGCCATCCTCTGTGTTAACCCAGGGCTTTTGATTGGGGAAGCAGCACCTTCACTGTGCATTTCCTAATGAAGCTGGTGACTGAGGTGGCTAGCTCGTCGATGTTATCGTCGGAATCTCTGAACATATTCCAATCAGAGCTAGCAAAACAGTCCTGTAGCATAATCTCTGATTCTGATGACCATTTCTCGAAGGAGTGTGTCACGGGTACTTCCTGCTTCTGCTTTTATACAGGAGTATGGAGTCATGATCTGATTTGCCGAATGGGGGACGAGGGAGGGCCTTGTATGCTTGCTTGTGGGTAGAGTAACAGTGGTCTAGGACTTTATCGCCCCTAGTGGCGAAGGAGACGTGTTGATGGAAGTTGGGCATCACATGCCTTAAAATCGCTGGCAACAAGGAAAGCAGCCTCCGGGTGCAAGTTTTCCTGCTTGTTTATAGCCTCGTACAGTTCGTTAAGTGTCCGCTTGTTTTTTTTTTTTTCCTGAGGTGGAATGTATACAACAGTCATGACAAGCTGAAAAAGCTGAGCTGAAAACTTACTCAGGATGTAGAAGGGTCGGCTTTTTACCATCAGGTATTTCAAGACAGGTGAACAATGGGTCGAGACTTCCACTGCACTCGAGTCAGCACACCATTTGTTGTTGATGAAGAAGCAAACCCCTTCCCCTCTCAATTTCCCTGACTCCACTGTCCTGTCCACTCGGTGAATGGAGAATCCATAGAGTTGTCCGAAAGCCATGTTTCAGAAAATAAGAGAATATTGCAGTTACGAGAGTCCCGTTGGTAGCAAATCCACAATCGGAGGTCATCCATCTTATTATCAAGTGACTACAAAATGGAGGAAAGAGGTGGCCGGTTTTCCATTCGCCTTAACCTCGGCGGGACTCCCCCTCTCTTGCCTCTGTAACACTGCCGTTTCCTCTTGGAAACCCCAAACATTGTGTCAGAATTACAGAAAGTGCCCAGGGCAGATGAGTCGAAGTCAAAGTTGAAGCCAGAATTGAGGTAAGTAACTGCCAAACTGATGTTAAAAAGTTATTGTTGGTTATAAGAAATGATAGCGGATACATTTTGTGAAAATAAAATAAATGCCAAAAGTATCACAAAATAGCAAAGTTGGATCGGAGCTCGCAAAACGGCAGCCATACAGTACGGCGCCATCTCAGAATACCAACTGAGCTACAGAGGACCACTATCTACTCCTAATGTAACCCTTTGTTCATTCTGTTGATATATGCTCTAGATATTCTCTCCATACTGTACATCTGATTCATATCATGGCTGAGTAGAGCATTGTATTTCACTTTTATGACATCCATAGGAAATCAGGAATCCATGCAGCTCTGTTTTCCTTTCCTTTACCTGTTGTCAGTGTGCTGTAACAGACGATAAGGCCCAGACGTCAGACACTTGCTCTCTCCTCTCCTCTCCTCTCCTCTCCTCTCCTCTCCTCTCCTCTCCTCTTCTCTTCTCTTCTCTTCTCTTCTCTTCTCTCTTCTCTTCTCTTCTCTTCTCTTCTCTTCTCTTCTCTTCTCTTCTCTTCTCTTCTCTCCTCTCCTCTCCTCTCCTCTCCTCTCCTCTCCTCCTCTCTCAGTGGAGAGAGACATGGGGAGCTCTAGCCAGCTCTAGCCACACAGCCAAACTAAATTATCTTTCCATTCTGATTTCCCCTCCAGATTCTGAGAAGGATGCATCAAAGCGTGTTGCTGATACTGAAGCCTACACTGAGCAATTGTGGAATTTTGTCTACTATCTTGTAATTACAATGGCATGACATGTACTTAGCAAATCATTCACTGATAATGTTTTTTCCCCCTCTAGCAATCAACTATCTGGTTATCTGCCGGGTGTCAAGAGTTGCAGCTATTCCTCCTGTTTGCACATGCATCCTATGGGAGCCGCGGAAGTTGCAACATTTAGCTGATTTCACCTCTTTTCCCTGTGAGTGAGTGGCTGACAACTGCACATTCCAACCTGCCACGACAGTTTATGACTTATTTCTGACTCCTGCGTTCTTCATGTTGACCCCTGACACCCTGGAGCCCCCTTTTATTTGTTTAGTTCATCCAAGTGGTCATCATGGCATTAATTTGAATGTGTGTAGTGCAGAGAGGTATTCACAAATATATTCCAATGTTTGAGGTTGTTGGCTATTCTTTCATGCTTCTGCCCTCAACCTTGACATACCTCATACTACACCTGTGTGACCTGGCCTTGGAGACAGAGCCTGTTCAAGACCCAGCAATAGTTTACTATATCACACAGATAACATAGGTGAATCCTTTGCCTCTGATTGAATGGATGAATGATAAAGTGCTGTAAAAAGTAATCAATAGAACTGCACCTACTGTAGCCTATTCAAATGGCACTTCAAATAAAATCAGTTCTCCAACTATGATACAAATTTGAAATGAATTCTATGAAGATATTATAGGCTATTAATTATTAACATTGCATGTAAAATAGATACATGTTCCATGATAGAAAACAAATGCATTAGGTAATAGGCCTACATATGTAATACATTGACAAGTAACTTTCAACTTTTTACAAAGGGATACAATTCCAGCCTTGTCTATTTACAATGTATCAGTTATACTGCTCCATGAACAGCTGCAGTCAAGGCATTCATCACAGCAAACTTTCACAAGGCAACATTGTATCCAACTGTAGTAAATGACACATACCAAGCGTTGTTCAAACCTGTGTTCTGGAATTCCCCTCTGCTGTTTCAAAACAACAATAATCCTACATGTGCTCCTTTACTCGAACGAATATCAGAGGACTGCAAGGAGTGACAGACAGTTGATTTCGTGCCGTTTGCTCCATGACCATCATTTGGAAGCGAGAGTGAAAACGATCCCCTTGACTCAATGGACCCAAAGCAACGATTGACTCACTCGTTTTCCAGCGCCACCTGTATATTCCAAGCCAGTACTGCAGCGTCTCCTCTCTTTCCGATTCTCCAATGTCCACAGCTTGGCCGGAGCTCGTTGTTTTACCGGCTCCATTTCCACCGTATTTTTAACGCTCCTACCCGGCCCAGATCAGGACGAGACCACGCTAAAGGTAAAGAAGAAGCTCCAAGGATTCGGGAGAGTCTAGGTTAGGCGGAGAAAGATCGTCCTTTATTGGTGTTTTCAGCGCTGTCGTGTTAGAGGGAGCTTGCTCAGAACTGACTTCATGCATCAGTTGGTACACCATGCTGATACCGGAGTGTCTCCTACCAAAACAAACCTCTCCGTTCTACAAAGGATTCTAAGGTCGGATTCGAACCATTTACCGTTCCTTAGAATGCGTCAAAGGACTTATAATCAATATGCTCATATTCGTCGGGTATATACGATCAATGCTCTCCTAAAGTGAGAGAAACATGCTATGTTTTATTTAGCTCGCCTGCATGCCTTGCGAGTCCCCCTTACTGCAAATAGGTGCAATTATGTTTTCCCTGCAGCTCTTCATTCGCATTCTCCCAACCAATATTTGTGCGCTGGTGACTATATGCTGTGTGAGTGTTCTGTCTTATTTTGCCCTATTGCTTGGCTTTTGACAGATAAAGTCTTCGGGAATCTCACCACAAAACGAAGGTAGCCTAGCAGTCAGTAGTCACAATGATTGAATCCGAGCCTGCTTTTATTAACGACAAGGCTACACATGAGCTGCGATATTGTAGCCTAACAATATTTGCACTCGTGTTATGGTTCTGTGGGGGGGGGGGATTATTCAAAGCCAATTGGATCGAGCTAATGGAATGATTTGGTGCCCCTTATCTAACCATCTAGCTTGCTATAGGCGTGTGGTGACCATTATGGAAACATTATGAACATCGTTTGTCCTTCAAAATGACAGGAATTTTAAGAAAGTACTCACATATATTTTATTTATAAATAGTCTATAGCTATTGTTTATAAACAACTTTTGATGAATAGACTGTAATATTCAACATCCAACCATGTAAATCGACAGACAGGACACAGACTCTGAGAAATGAAACTCATGTAGGCTACAAACCAAAGACCAAACCACAAAGGGGTCTACCAGTCCAGAGAATAATGTAAAGTTGAGGGATGATAACCTACCTGTCTGATGAGCAACATCTCTCTCTCTCTCTCTCTCTCTCTCTCTCTCTCTCTCTCTCTCTCTCTCTCTCTGTATGTATGTATCCCATTGATAGATCCAGTTAATAACTTTTCTATCCTTTATTCTTTATGGGGGGAAATATGTCCAGTGAAAGACTATAGGCCTATAGAGGCTAGCCTATATCACATTGATCAGTTCAATAACGTTTCTGTCATTATTTTTTAGGGGGAATCAAAATGTCCAGTGAAAGACAGGGGCGGTCAGATGATGAGAGTCCGAGTACCAGCAGTGGTAGTTCTGATGCGGACCAGAGAGACCCGGCGGTGCCGGAGCCCGACGAGGCAGAGGAGAGAAAACAGCAGCCCGCCACACCTCCTCAGCAACAGAAGAAACCCACCAAATTATCCAGCAAGACTACCGCCAAGTTGTCCACTAGTGCTAAAAGGTAATGCCTTCATTATCATAATCACTGTCTTCTTCCAATTAGGGATAATGTCGTCTACGTGATCCTTCTGCTAAACTGAGTAGCCTAATGAAAGAATGATGGTTCATTTATAATGCTTTAATCCTTTGAGACACAAAGGAGAGATATTTATTTTTAAACTATTATTATTCCTGTGCCAAATAAGATTGTTAAAAACGAAAGCCATGGAACTACATTATCGTAGTCGTGGCTTTATTAGACTACTTGGTTCAGTGTCGTTGGATATGGATAATTTGTCAAGTTAGGCTACAGGAGCAGAGCAGGACTTATGTATCTGAGGATGAATTGTTTTGAATATATTCACATGTAGGATGGTTGAGTATTGTAAAATAGGTATTTTCACACTCACAGTTTGTCTTTCCTGTGTTGCAACCTGTGTTTGTTTGGCTGTAGAAAAGTGTTTCTAAGTTTGGGGAGAAAATGGTCAAAAATATTATTATGACAAATGTCCTCTTCCTCTATGTGACTATATTTAGTGTTGGGTAAGAGGATAATGATCACTTTAAAGTACAACTAATAAATATAAAGCAGTTGGATGCAATTTTATCTGAGCTTCAAAAAGAAACTGACTTGTCTACACGATAGTCTTAACAGTAGATGAGAATACAAATGTATTGAGTGGCAAGTATGTAAAAATCCTCCCCTTCTCTCCCTTACACACCGTTAATAATGCTTTAGTAACAGCACCCTACGCAGCTCTCTGGTTTAAAGCCCCTGTCAAATATACCCAAGGTCCTCCCCCCTCCTTCTCCCTCTCTGCCTCATTTGCATATAAGCTTTAAAAGAAGATATTTTGTGCTAAAAGTGACTGGTATTGGTGGATAAGCTGCGGGGTGGTAGGTGAGGGTGGTGGCTTTGTGCTGGGGCTGAGAGGGTTGTGTTGGGGTAAACGGACAGGGAGTAACAAAGGAGAGAAAGTTTTGCTGTTCTGGGCTTCGGGTTCTGCCTGGGAGAACAAAGAGGAAGCAGCCATGTTAGCTGGGCTGAGTGGAGAGAGAGGGGTGGGGGGGGGGGGGGGGGGGGTGGAGCCGTGCAGTTAGAGCATCGCTGGTAGAGGGCAGTGTAAATCCCTAGTCTACACCGGCTACTCTAGTCTAGTGCTATAAATCTCTTCTCTTCTCACAGCTACTCTTCTCCTCTCACATTTCTCTCTCTCAATTCAATTTCAATGTAAGGGCTTTATTGGCATGGGAAACGTATGTTAATATTGCCAAAGCAAGTGAAGTAGATAGTAAACGAAAGTGAAATAAACAATAAATATTAACAGTAAACATTACACTCAGAAGTTCCAAAAGAATAAAGTCATTTCAAATGTCATATTTTGTATATATACAGTGTTGTAACATTGTGCAAATAGTTAAAGTACAAATGGGAAAATAAATAAACATAAATATGGGTTGTATTTACAATGGTGTTTGTTCTTCACTGGTTGTCCTTTTCTTGTGGCAACAGGTCACAAATCTTGCTGCTGTGATGGCACACTGTGGTTTTTCACCCAGTAGATAAAGGAGTTTATCAAAATTGGTTTGTTCTCTCTCTGACAGCAAGGACCACAATAGAAACAAGTCTGTTGACTTTATTGTGTTTTTAATGTGTGTATTGTTCATCCCTACAGGGCTGCTCTAGTGTAGTGCTGTAGAGTCTCCTCTCACAGCTTCAACACATTTCTAATTTCTCTTCCACAGAATCCAGAAGGAGCTCGCTGAGATCACTCTAGATCCACCACCTAACTGCAGGTATGGCAAAGATTTCATATTCATTCATATTCTCAGTTTAGCTATTTTTGTTGATAAGGTTTAAAGGCGTCAGCATGCTTCAGTTCGGCTGGCGCCTAGCCGAACTTGTCTAGCCGAACCGAACGAGTGTGCTCGCATACTCCCTTAAAAAATACCTTCGCTTGAAAAACGATTCCTATTCCTCAAAATAGAAATCTGTCATACATTTTGAAGTTTTTTACATTTTACATCTAACTAAGATGTTTGGTGCAGTATTTTTCTATGAAAAAAATTGCATGAAAACAAGTCGTCTCTCGTTGAATGACAACAAAGACTTTATTGAAGAATTCCTACTGTTAACCAATCACCGACGAAGGGGCGTAGACTTCGGCTCTGAACTTTGGCTTGCCTCCAGAAAAATTGTTGTGTGCAGAACAGCTGAAAAAACCCTCACCGAAGTCCAAAACCAACAACAACGTCACAAAATGTAGTCAAAATATATGCACAAACTCTACCGAACTGTTCCGGTTGGGAAGCATGCAGACGCCTTAAGGCTGCCTGTTATGTGTTCTACTGTCACACAGCACTGTTGCAGATTTTACTTTTAACTTGTTGCATTACTATTATAGTGTTGTAATAGGACATTTATATTACTTCAATGCTAGGCTTCAAAGCAGAGATAAAGAGGGAAGTCTGGTGTGGTGGTTTTTGATGTGTTAAATAATTTATGTTTAGCTATGGTCTTTGCACTGTCATGTTTTTAATAATGCAACAGATGTTGCATTTATGCAGACTGTCTTTTATTCCATTTGAACTCTGTCAATTTAGAATCCATCTTTTGTAACGGGGTTGACATAGATATGTGTTTATAACAAAGTTGACATAGATATGTGTTTATAACGGAGTTGACATAGATATGTGTTTATAATGGAGTTGACATAGATATGTGTTTATAACGGAGTTGACATAGATATGTGTTTATGACGGTGTTGACATAGAATGTGTTTATAACGGAGTTGACATAGATATGTGTTTATAATGGAGTTGACATAGATATGTGTTTATAACGGAGTTGACATAGATATGTGTTTATAACGGAGTTGACATACATATGTGTTTATAATGGAGTTGACATACATTTACATTTTAATCATTTAGCAGACGCTCTTATTCAGAGCGACTTACAGTTATTGAGTGCCTACATTTAATTTTTTTCATACTGGCCCCCTGTGGGAATCGAACCCACAACCCTGGCGTTGCAAACGCCATGCTCTACCAACTGAGCTACATCCCTGCCGGCCATTCCCTCCCCTACCCTGGACGACACTGTGCCAATTGTGCGCCGCCCCATGGGTCTGTGTTTATAACGGAGTTGACATAGATATTATATGCCATTTAGCAGACGCTGTTATCCAAAGCGACTTACAGTCATGCGTGCATACATTTTTGTGTATGGGTGGTCCCGGGGATCGAACCCACTACCCTGGCGTTACAAGCGCCATGCTCTACCAGCTGAGCTACAGAGGACCAGATATGTGTTTACAACGGAGTTGACATAGATATGTGTTTTATAAAGCAGATGTGATGCTGCAGATTCAGTGTAATTATGTTTAATTAGTGAAAGTATGATTCTATGTTTTTGATGGCCGCAGAATTTTTTTTGCCTTTAATTTTTTTGGCTTTTAATTCAATGAAACACGTTTTTGGGAGATTTTTTTTTTGTCTGTTTGTAAAGATTCTTGAATGTCATTTTGTCAGTCTCGAGACTTCTGAAATGAAATAGCTGTCATGCAATTTGATAAACTTTACAATACTTTGCTTACTGGGGTGGGCAAACATTCTTTATCCAAACCACTGTTGCACAGATACCGGCGGTTGTATTTTCACTGTTTTTTTTATTGCGTTTTAAATGTCTTCAACCAAGGAGAAATTACACACAGTGACTAAATTATTTGTATTCCATTGAGTTTGAGTTATCCCTCTGAATTTGGGTTTCATTCATTAAGTCGATTAGCTCTAATGACTGACCTTGGCCCGGGAATTTCCTTCTAAGATTTATTCATGAAGCAGCACTATGACATATGGTCTTTGTTTGGTTCTCTAGACCCGGGGCTTAAAGGGGGGTTCTGATGTTCTTTAGACTAGCCCCTTCACCCCTCTATTGGGCTGCTACCATTCATAATTTCCTGTTAAACAAACACAAAGTGTGCCCACTGACCCTTTGAAAGCCCCTCTCTTAAGACGCCGTGTGAGATGATTCACCTTGCACAAATATCACACTAACATCCGACATGAATTCCTTTGACTCCACATTTGTGGTTTTAAAATGGAAGCAGTTAGTGTGTGGTGGCATAAGGGTTGATGTAGTCTGCTACCTTTAGTCAAGAGCCATTTATCAGAAACGCCTTTGGACAAACATTCTGTTGTCTAAAACGGTGATGTTGCATGTATGCATAGGTTAAGTTAACCTTCGCCATGCAAGACTTCCTCACTGAGATGCAGCTCAGGTCACTGTATCCCTGTGAGGATGTGGTCGTGGATCATGGACCACTGATCAGCAAGATGTGGCTTAATGTCTGTGGGTGAATGTTTTTTTCCTCCTCCGCTTCCTGTTGTGGTAATGCGGTATTGGTGAGCTCCAGCCCACACCGTGTGTCTTCTGAATTGAAACGGGGGATCAATATCCTGCCGCGGCACGACTAGGGGATTCCTGATACAACGTTGATAATGGTAATTGACAATGCAGGGATTTGATGGCTTTTCATGGTCTGATCCTCTGCACTGCGCTGTGCACTCTCAGAGTAGGAGTGCTGATGTACAGTCGTGGTCAAAAGTTTTGAGAATGACACAAATACTAATATTCACAAAGTCTGCTGCCTCAGTTTTGATGATGGCAATTTGCATATACTCCAGAATGTCATGAAGAGTGATCAGATGAATTGCAATTAATTGCAAAGGCCCTCTTTGCCATGAAAATGAACTTAATCCCAAAAAAACATTTCCACTGCATTTCAGCCCTGCCACAAAAGGTGAGAGTGTTGACGAGGACAAGGCTGGAGATCACTCTGTCATGCTGATTGAGTTAGAATAACAGACTGGAAGCTTTAAAAGGAGGGTGGTGCTTAAAATCATTGTTCTTCCTCTGTTAACCATGGTTACCTGCAAGGAAACACGTGCCGTCATCATTGCTTTGCACAAAAAGGGCTTCACAGGCAAGGATATTGCTGCTAGTAAGATTGCACCTAAATCAACCATTTATCGGATCATCAAGAACTTCAAGGAGAGAGGTTCAATTGTTGTGAAGAAGGCGTCAGGGCGTCCAGCAAGCACCAGGACCGTCTCCTAAAGTTGATTCAGCTGCGGGATCGGGGCACCCACCAGTGCAGAGCTTGCTCAGGAATGGCAGCAGGCAGGTGTGAGTGCATCTGCACGCACAGTGAGGCGAAGACTTTTGGAGGATGGCCTGGTGTCAAGAAGGGCAGCAAAGAAGCCACTTCTCTCCAGGAAAAACATCAGGGACAGACTGATATTCTGCAAAAGGTACAGGGATTGGACTGCTGAGGACTGGGGTAAAGTCTCTGATGAATCCCCTTTCCGATTGTTTGGGGCATCCGGAAAACACCTTGTCCGGAGAAGACAAGTTGAGCGCTACCATCAGTCCTGTGTCATGCCAACAGTAAAGCATCCTGAGACCATTCATGTGTGGGGTTGCTTCTCAGCCAAGGGAGTGGGCTCACTCACAATTTTGCCTAAGAACACAGCCATGAATAAAGAATGGTACCAACACATCGTCCGAGAGCAACTTCTCCCAATCATCCAAGAACAGTTTGGTGACGACCAATGCCTTTTCCAGCATGATGGAGCACCTTGCTATAAGGCAAAAGTGATAATTAAGTGGCTCGGGGAACAAAACATCGACATTTTGGGTCCATGGCCAGGAAACTCCCCAGACCTTAATCCCATTGAGAACTTGTGGTCGATCATCAAGAGGCGGGTGGACAAACAAAAACCCACAAATTCTGACAAACTCCAAGCATTGATTACACAAGAATGGGCTGCCATCAGTCAGGATGTGGCCCAGAAGTTAATTGACAGCATGCCAGGGCGGATTGCAGAGGTCTTGTAAAAGAAGGGTCAACACTGCAAATATTGACTCTTTGCATAAACGTAATGTAATTGTCAATAAAAGCCTTTGACACTTATGGAATGCTTGTAATTATACTTCAGTATACCATAGTAACATCTGACAAAAATATCTCATAACACTGAAGCAGCGAACTTTGTGAAGACCAATATTTGTGTCATTCTCAAAACTTTTGACCACGACTGTAGGATCAGTTTAGCCTTTTAGATCATTATGACTATCATAAAATGGACAGGGGGGCCCTGATCCTGTGTGTGTGTGTTCTCAGCAGAAGGAGATAATAACCCGATAATGCCTATATATCAGCTATCAGCTCCCTCCCTGGATCATGATTTCCCATTCAATTAGTAGGACAGTCAGTCAGTCTGGTTGCATCCCAAATGGCAACCTATTCCCTATACAGTGCACTACATTTGAGGCTCCCGTCAAAAGTAGTTTACTGTATAGGGAGTAGGGTGCCATTTGGGATGCAGACTCGGTCTCCGCAGTGCGTTGTTTACCTGGAGGTTACATTAATTTGATGGTAATGCATCACATTTCAGCAGCACTGCCTGGCCTGGACATATCAGAGAGAGAAGAAAATGAAAAAGGAACCTGGCTCTAGTTTCAGTTTGTTGAGATAGCCTAGTTCACTGTTGTCAGTTCGGTTGCATTATCAACTATCAAGTAACATGCATGCATGCGCACGTGCACACACCCACACACACACACACACACACAAATCTTTCGCTGTGCCCTTGAGCAAGGCACTTAACCCCAATTGCTCCAGGGGCGCTGGACAATGGTGACCCTAGCCATGACCCCACTCCCGGTGGGTGTCTCAGGGGGAGTTGGGATATGCAAGAAACACATTTCCATTACACAGTTGTGTCCAT